TTGAGCATTGCAATAGATTTCAGCAGGTCTGGACTCTTCACTGAGCTGGGGAAAACTGTAAATTTAGATAATAGGAAAGGTTAAAATATAAAGCAGGCATCTCGAGGGTACAGAACCATAGAACAGTTAGGGTTGGAAAGGACCTTAAGATCATCTAGTTCCAACCCCCCTGCCATGGGCAGCATACTTGATGTCTGACAACATTTAAAAATCTCTAGAAACTTCCAGAAGATGATAAAATAACAACCATTTTGGCACAACTTAGATTTCAGAATTTGAAACAGTCTCATTTCATTTCTCTCTTACTACTTTTGAAAGTTATTTGCTTATGTGTATTTGATCCTTTCAGATTTGACAAATATCAAGGCGTTTGCCTTATATATATTAGCACTTTCGTGTCACGTTGTCCCTGTAAGTCTTTGAGTATATAACAGAAGAATTTCAGTTTCCTGCTTAACCAACTAAATTACAAGATGACTTTTCTAGTACTCTGACTTGGCAATGTTGGTGACAGTTTACTGAGCTACAAAGCATTTTTCACAGTCTATTTGTTTGATATATTGAGTTGTGGATCAATTTTACTGCAAGAAAAAAATGTTAGGTGAGATTTTTAGTAACTTAGTGTTTGCTCTGTTTACCTGAGTTGACAGCTTTCATCCTTGGGCTGGAAGAATCTGTTTAGGTTGGCTTTAATAGCATGATTTGTAATCACTTTGTGGGAGCTTGAACTGAAATCTCAACTGTATTTTCACTGTGAAGTACAGCAGGCTTGTTTAAAAAGGAACCGAGAAATACCAGCCTCGGAATAAATTGTTTTTAGAAGAACCTGTCAATGTCTAATAACCAGAGATTGTTTTTCTCTCTTGCTCGATTAATTTTTTTTTTAAATCCTAATACTTCAGATCACAGACAGTAACTTTTTTATTTGAGTGCCATTGAATGTTAAATCTATTGTTCATTATTTAAGTACTTGAGAATTAATAGATTATCCTCAGGACACTGAAAATGCCAAGCAGAATGCCTTTAAGCAAAATCAGTATCAGTTGAAGTTTACAGTTACATTCGTTTTGGCTGTGTTATTTATTTACTTGTGTCATTCAAAGGGCAAGAAAATTAATGTATTTCTCAAAACATTAGTACAAGTATCTTTTATGATATTAGACAAACTATATTATATCTGTTTCCACTGAGCTTATTGATAATGGTGTCTAGGAAAACATGGGCTCCAGCCTGGAGCTTTCTTGCACTTCTGGAACTCACATCCTTATTCCCCTTCAGAGCAAAGGGGTGTGAACTTACAGAGCAGCGTTAACCTCAGGCCGGAAACTGGCAAATGGTTTCCTGAAGCTGTGAGGACCTTACTTCTGAGACCCCTACCTCTTCATTAGGACTGATTAAAATCAGCAGAGTGCCAACATTTTCAGAGGACACATACAGGTGTCTACAAAGAATAATTACATAAGCTTTACAAGTTGTTCCTGCACCAACTGGCTTTTCATTGACACTTCCCTCATCAGCTGCTTGTGTTTCATAAAGTATGTGATAAATGGGCAGGTTTACTGCTGCCATGCAGAATATATAACTCTTGAGTTCTACCTGTCTTCTCTGCAATGTGTCCTGTCTACCCTGCCTCCAATTCTCCTGAAGTTTGTCACAGCTTAATCAGTGAGGCCGTTACCTCTCTGTCAGGTTTAGCTAATGCTGGTTGAGGTTTGGAAGCTTCTGGGCAAGCAGTCAAGATCTGCAGACAGAAGCAAGGTTTTATAATCTCACCATCTTTCTATAGAAATCTCATTAAGAAGTCTATTCTGATGGACTCTTCTGTTATAATTAAATACAAGGATGTTCTTCATAGTATGATTGGTTATAAGGCAGGAATTCTTTAGTATGTTGCAAGACTCTTTTCTTTAACATTTGAATGCCAAATTGAGCTTTTCTGTGTTAATCAGCATTTGAGACTATATCCATCTTGTGATTTACTAAGTGTGCCAAAAAGCTTCCATTAATCCTGTTTCACAAGGACCTCAGTTATAAGTTGGTAAATCAGAAATAACACAGTGAATCTGAGCTCTTCTAGGATTGGTATCTCATATAATGAAATCTGCAAAGGGAAGATACGGACAGTCTTAAGATGCAGTAATCCTATATACTTCATGCTCATCTAAAAGTACCTAGGATGCATTGTGAGACAGAATATTCTGAGATACTTGGAACACTTTCCTTTGCAGACTTCTAACACTTTAAAGCAAGGAGCTAAAGCAATGTAAAATTAAATGGATATTTCTTTTTCTCCCTACCTTGTCCAAATATCAAACCATTTGTATTCTGTTTCATCTTGTGCTAACATAACATGCGAGCCCTTCACAATGTACAATTCTTAGAATAATTTCAAGTTGACATCACAAGATGTTTCATGTTGAGAAGAAATCAAAATTCATGGTACTGGAAAGAAAGATGTAATTAAACCATCTAGTTAGGAGTGGGGAAGTTCTGGTTCAAATCCTTTCTCCTACTGAGTTTTTATTGATTTTTATCCCCTTATGTATAAAATAAAACACCTCTTTATGGGAACAGAGCTTACCTGCTCCTGACTGAGCATCATAACCACTGAACTAAAGCTGCTTTCTGTTGACCAGTAGCAAAACTCCAACAGATGGCTGGAAACAGTACCTTTTCTACCACAGTTTCACACCTTTAAAAGGCAACAGCGTGACTGACAAAGCATCACACTGTGAGCCATGAATTTAAATAGCTTTAGACAGAGAAGGCCAGTTCTCTGTAGTCCAATGCAAATGTTGTAACCTTTGGGGCATTCTGTAGAGCAGCCTCAGTTGTTTAATGTTTGAAATCTGTAGTTTGATGTCTAGCACAATTTTATTTTTTGACATGTCCCACTATGAGTACAAATCACTGATGGATTTCAGTAGCGGTTGTGTCAGCCCTTCATTACTTGACATGCTTAGTTCGTTTGCATAAATCGGTCAGCAAGCACAGAAAAGAGTGCTGAAAGGGAACTGGAGGTTTCCTCTAGTTCATTTAGCTGTTTCTTTCATCGTAGTGAAATCAATGAGAATGACATATCTTAAGAAGGATTTCATGTGGGTTTGTAGTGTTGTAAGTTTACTATAGTATAGAAGTGTATGCAGGGGTATCTTCCCCTATCCCTATCAGTCCCATACTCTGCACACCATGGGTTCTTGCTTGGGGGCTGACTCCTGTCTTTGAAGAAATGCACAATGATGCGTTTAACCTAGAGAGGGTGGTGAGTCTTTCTTCTTTGCCCTCCTCTTCCTAAGGTACAAAATCCTCTTACCCCACCACAATCTCTTCTATCAGCTATTCTTATTCCTAAACCCATGGTCTTCTACTGCCTCTGTGTGTGTGGCATTTGTGGTTTGCTTTTGTGCTTTGCTTGTAAAATGGGAAGCCTTTTCAAGACAGATGGTGGACACCACTTATCTCTTAGTTGTCTCTCATTGACAGAGATACCCCAACCCCAACACTTAGGGAAGAAAATATTTGGAGAATAGGCAACAGTGAGTTCAGAGAACAGAGCTTGTTAATTGGTCAGGACTGTGCAGGATGGCACTGAAGACACAGGAATAGTATTGTGAATAACCCAGGACTATGAGTTCCTGATGATATAATTTAGAATTACTTATAGTTAAAATCATTACATTATTGCAGTAGTAGTATTTCACCCACTATTCTATGATCCTGCCTGATTCAAAGGCAGGGTCAACTACACATAAATCTTTCTTGACAGAAGAAATCAACATGCCCAGGTAATCTTGTAAAGATTTGTCACTAATTCTGCCTAGCACTTTACATTCTGCAAGGTTATTTTATAGACTTAGGAGAATTTTATTCTTTTTTTAATGGCCAACAATGATTTTAAGACTCTTTTTAAAATCTGTTCAGCTTTACAATATAAATATATTCCAGGTACATCATAAAAATTGTGTATTTAAAATATGTCAGGTAAGACTGAAACTTCCCCTTTGCATAGCTTAATGGATATTCTCATCACTTGTCATTACGTTTCAGAGAAGCAGTTAAATTGCAACCATTTATAAGTTTTATAAATGTTGTGGATATTGGAATTATAATTAGAGATAATAAAACTTGACTACCTCAGTTCATTTTAGTATAAAATTAACTAAAATTATCTAAAGATATAAGAAGTTTTCAGATATATCTGAAAAAGTCATTAAGTCAGGCAAAGTTGTTATAAAGGACCTTCTAATGAATTAGTGATTATTTAACCTTTTGTGACTCAAAAGGTCCATTAAGAACTTCAAGGCACAAACAGAACCGGAAGTGATTGGGAAGATTGTGCTCTCTTACTTACCCATGAGCAAAGTTTATACATCAGAGTTATTTCCCTCTTAATTTTGCATTGTGTGGGTCTTTTCTGTTGTTTTCTCCTTGTTTTTTTCTGAAGGAATCAGTTTCTCAAAAAGTAATGTCACTGAGTAAGCAACTAAAAACTACTTAATTCTTTTATGCTGAATGAGGAGGTTAATTCATACTAAACAAAGGTTTCATATTATGAATCTGGATGGAACCCTTGTGATCTAGTCATATATGGATTTTTCACCCATATGACTGCTGTGAATGAATTTCTTTGTGAACTAAAGCTACCTTTTTGAAGAAAACGCCAGTCAGCAGTAGCTTTAATTCAAGCTCTAGTAGTACAGCGTGTAGTTCCTCAACCATATGTACCTGAAACATGTACCTAAAGGCTGCTGAGATTTTTCCTGTTACCTCATCCACCACAGCTGAAATTCTCTCTTAGGTCCAAATGAAGTGCTAAGAATTGGACCCGGTACAAGACCCAAATCTGAAAACCCTTGTGTGTGGGCATCTATGTGTAAATAGATTATTTTTTTCTTTTTTTTTTTTTTAATTAAAAGCCAGACTTTCCTATCTTCTTGTATGGTTCCAATTAAATGAAGACAAAGGAAACTAAATCTTCAAATGGGGTTTCTGTATTCAAGGATTATGTCAGCAATGAAGATGTGCAGAATCCCCCTGATTCAGTCTTGGCAACAAGTTCAAAAAGGAAGTCAGAGAATGAGAGTGAATCAGCTGTGCCTAACGTGGGCAAGCAAACAGGCATCTCCCCCTCCCTGGGTAACACTTTGGAGCACATTGTGGAGCAGCTGGATGTTTTAACTCTAGTAAGTATGCAATAACAGATAACACTTGCAGTGGGAAAATGGTAATGCTGTCAATGGGCAAAAAATCCCATGAACCATGTTCCTAAACCAGAATATTAAAGGCTTTGGTGTTACTTTGAGTAGTTGTATAGTCAGGTGTCTGTTCTGGTTTTTTTCCTTTCAGCAAATAATGATCACATTGTGTTTGCTAAAGTAAGAGCTTCCTGCTACATAATCATAAATATTATTGTTGTATTTCTAACTCAGGAATAAAAGACTCACTGTTTTTTAGTAGTGAGATCTAGCATTAATTTGTCAGAAGCCAGTTCTTTAGCAGATTCCAGCTTGAACAGTCATGTGGTAGCGGGGCATGAACAAAACAAATTTGTAATGTACCATTAAATACTTTTTCAAACTTAGTGTTCAAGGTGTTGGATAGGAATCTAAGCAGTGGAATAATTCCTAGTGTCAATGAAACTGCCCAAATACTGGTCTCCAGCAGTGACTCTGAGTCACTTGTTTGCAAATGCTCAATACTTCTTTTTAGTAGTCGAGATTTAGCCAATCTGTGTTTTAAGATAATACTCTGTGGTCTGTCATATATTAACATTAAATCAAATGAAAAATGAGTGACTATTGCAAACCTGTGTTGTTTTGCAATACAGAATAAGAAATACAGAGTAAGAAATAAGTTTTGGGAAGTACAAATTCAAGTCGTCAGTTGAAAATCATTTGTGTTGTAAATTGGATTAAAAAGAAACTGCCAGCCTATGTCCAGAAACCTTTTCTGATGAGGGCCATCTCTTGGAGGATGCCTTTTAATAGTTTTGGGTTTTTTTTTCTTACTTCCTGTTTTTGGGGCTACATTAGAAGTTTCTTTTAGGTTTTTGGAAGATATCATTTGGGATCAACCCTGAGGGCTGTTTTTCTGTTGAAATATGGATGCAACTTTCACATAGTATTTCAGAGTAATTTATATAAGCACAGATATATTGCATGCTCTCAGAGAAAATATTTTGTGAGCACAATTTTAAACCTTTAGGCAATCTCCAGAGAAACAAACCCATTATTTTTAAATAGAGTTGTAAATAGTGGAGTAGCTAAGGAAAAGCCATTTTAGGGTATTTTTTCCTGTTGAGTTAGAATGATTCTGCTTATGTTACTGTGTTGCACACTTGTAATAATTTGTGAGTAAAACCAAACCAATTGAAATTATTGCCCTCTTCATGCAGACTGTTTCAATCCTGGAACAACGTCTGACTTTGACCGAAGATAAATTGAAAGAATGTTTAGAAAATCAGCAAAAAATGTTACTCGAAGAAAGACAGGAAGCATAGAAGATGAAAACGAACTGTACTGATTAATATGTTTCATATACTCACAAGGAAATAACAACTTTTACTTTGCTGGATTTTGCTATAAGGAAAAAAATATAAATCCTCCTTTTCTAACAAGTCAATGTAATAACTGAAATAAAAAAAATGCACAACACATTTTAAACATTCACAGTATCACAGTATGTTAGAGATTGAAAGGGACCTCAAAAGTTCATCTAGTCCAATCCCCCTGCTGGAGCAGGAACACCTAGATAAGGTTACACAGGAACGTGTCCAGGCGGGTTTTGAATGTCTCCAGAGAAGGAGACTCTACAACCTCCCTGGGCAGCCTGTTCCAGTGTTCCGTCACCCTCACTGAGAAGAAGTTTCTTCTCAAGTTTAAGTGGAACCTCTTGTGTTCCGTTTTGTACCCATTTCCCCTTGTCCTATCATTGTTTGCCACTGAGAAGAGCCTGGCTCCATCCTCGTGACACTCCCCCTTTATATATTTATATACACTAATAAGGTCACCCCTCAGTCTCCTCTTCTCCAAACTATAGAGACCCAGCTCCCTCAGTCTTTCCTCATAAGGGAGATGCTCCACTCCCTTAATCATCTTAGTTGCCCTGCGCTGGACTCTCTCCAGCAGGTCCCTGTCCTTCTTGAACTGAGGGGCCCAGAACTGGACACAGTATTCCAGATGAGGTCTCACCAGGGCAGAGTAGAGGGGAAGGAGGACCTCTCTCGACCTACTAACCACCCCCCTTCTAATACACCCCAGGATGCCATTGGCCTTCTTGGCCACAAGGGCACAGTGTCGGCTCATGGTCACCCTGTCGTCCACCAGGACCCCCAGGTCCCTCTCCCCTACACTGCTCTCTAACAGGTCATTCCCAAACCTATACTGGAACCTGGGGTTGTTCCTGCCCAGATGCAGGACTCTACACTTTCCCTTGTTATATCTCATGAAGTTATTCCCCGCCCAACCCTCCAGCCTGTCCAGGTCTCGCTGGATGGCAGCACAGCCTTCTGGCGTGTCGGCCACTCCTCCCAGCTCAGTGTCATCAGCAAACTTGCTGATAGTACACTCAATTCCCTCATCTAAATCATTGATGAATATATTAAATAATATTGGTCCCAGTACCGACCCTTGAGGCACTCCACTAGATACAGGCCTCCAACTAGACTCCGCCCCATAGACTACAACTCTCTGGCTTCTCTCCTTCAGCCAGTTCACAGTCCACCTCACTACCCGATCATCCAGACCACACTTCCTCAATTTAGCTGCAAGGATGCTGTGGGAGACCGTGTCAAACGCTTTGCTGAAGTCAAGGTAGACCACATCCACCGCTCTGCCATCATCCATCCACCGTGTTATTTCCTCATAAAAGGCTATGAGATTGGTCAAGCATGACTTCCCCTTGGTGAAGCCATGTTGACTGCTCCTCATAACCCTCTTATCCTTGATATGCCTTAAGATGGCACCAAGGATAAGGTGTTCCATCACTTTCCCAGGAATGGAGGTGAGGCTAACCGGTCTATAGTTACCCGGGTCCTCCTTCTTGCCCTTTTTGAAGACAGGAGTGACATTTGCTTTCCTCCAGTCCTCAGGCACCTCTCCCATTTCCCAAGACTTGGTAAAGATGATGGAGAGCGGTCTAGCAATGACCTCAGCCAGTTCCCTCAGCACCCACGGGTGCATCCCATCTGGACCCATGGATTTATGGATGTCCAGATTGCTCAACTGGTCTTTAACCCATTCCTCATCGACTAAGCCAGACCGCTCCGTTGACCTGTCTTCATCTGAGGTCTTAGCGGTACAGGGCTCTTCAGGACTGCCTCCAGCAGAGTAGACAGAGACAAAGAAGGCATTAAGTAACTCTGCCATCTCTGTATCTTCTGTCACCATTGGTAGCAAGCAGATAGTCTGTTTGTATATTAAATAAAGTGCAACCCAGCCAAAAGTAGTGTTTTCCAAAATCATTCCTGCTGAGCATTGCAAGACTCTTATTTCAACTTAATAAGATCTTTGAATACAACTAAGCAACAAACTACATATTTTTAGATAAATAGCAATTATTATCGAAGTGCACTATGCTGTTTTTTTAGCTCAGCTAAGGATTGTGAAATAATGCTCCTTGTGCTAAGGCAGCATTACTCAAGCACCTAAATTAAATAAGACCTAATTAGCCCTAATTCCAAGAATGTCAGAAGTTTACTTAGTCCCTTACATACTCTCAAATATTTTACCAAAAAGTAGTGACAGTTACTCTCTATCATCTAAATGTTTTAGTGACGATTGCAAGAGGTGGTGTAAAAACTTTGAGTTACAACTATGAAAATTAAATCAAACTTTGAAACTATAACTGCATGTGTGAATTCAGCTGCAAGACTGATGGAGTCGAACACTTCCGCTTACCTCACCCCATCAAAATTCATGTTTCATATTTAGAAAAATAAAAATCAGCTTCATACTTCTCAATAATGTATTTGAACCAAACACAAAATGATGCAAAATCTATATCATAAATACAAAAGAATCTCATCTCTAAAGGACTTTCATAGGTGCTCAAGTCATTAATCATGAAAGACTTTGCAATGTATGATGATTTTGGTTTTATTTTTAATAAAAATGAAATTTTTAGAAAGACAATTGTAGGTCTTCTTTTTTAATAGAAAACATCTATGCTTCTTTATGTCTACCTATTATTATTTAAATGGCAACTGCAGAAAATCTGTTGTCAATCCACAGCCGAAACTAGGTATTCATCCATTGCTGCAACTTCACATTTAGTATGTTGAAAAATAGGACACCTGAAATGAGGGGAGCACTTTAATCCAATTCTGCAACTGACTGTATATAGATAAAGCCCATTTCACAGGCTGAACCTCATTAACATCAATAGAGTTCAGCTTAAGTCCAGAAGCAAACTGTGCAAATACTACAGTGGTTCAAGCCAAAGTAATGAGCAATCCATTTTTCTTTTACAGCTTTTCATTTTCTCTCATAGTAATCACCTTCAGGTAGCCAGACATCATCTCTCTTGGTAAATTCTGGGTTTTACGAGTGAGTACTACATAGTTTCAGATCAGTCTGAAGTAGACCTATTTGTCACAGTGAAGTCTCCTCTTATAAAAATTTTAGATGCAACTGTTTAGATGCAACCTTCTAGCCACGGATTTTTATTTCTATATAATTCCAGTGTAAACAGCCTGACCTTTGATTATGCAATTGTTTATAATGGTATATAAGGCGTAGTTATGTAAATACTGTATTTTAGGTGAGATGTACTTTGCTTTATGCATCTGCAAATTCTGGTATTTGCCTTTTCTTGGCTCCATTAGATGACACAAAACAATGTACCTTTTGAAATCTTCTTCCTTGTTTCTTGCTTTCTCCGAGTGAACTCATATATATATATTTATATATGCTTTAAACCTGTACAGAGGTTTTTCTTGTTGTCCTTGTTAAGCTTTTCAGGGTTATTTATCAACAAGATCTGGAAATTTATTTTCCGTCTGTTTTTCTTTTTTTTCTTTTTTTTTTTTAGTAAAATCTCTGCTGAAATTTTCCTTTCTGCCTTAGCTCCTACCACTAATCCTTCCTTTTCAGCACCTATTATCTGGAGCATTTACTACTTAATCCAGTTTATTCCTCTGCTGTTTGTCAATCTGGTGAACTAACTAACATTTTCAAATCAAGAT